CCTCAGCCCCCCTCCCACCCCCACCCTGGTCCCCGGGCCTGGGCTGCTGCTGGCTGCTCCCGCTGCTGGGGCTGCCTGCTTTCCCGGTCACCTGGGTCCCGGAGCTCTGCTCTCCGGCCGCGCTCTCCTCAACAAAAACCTCCCCCCTCCACACCCCCCTCCCCACTCCCACCTCCTTTCCCCTGACATCAGTGATGTCAGTCTCAGGGGTGGAATACAAATTCTCTACCCTGGAGAGGGACGCACAATCCAGACAAGAGCCACGCCCTCTTTCTATCTCCTTCCTTCCTGACTCCCTTCCCACCCCCAGAAGAGCGGCTGGTCCTGTTGATAATAACCCTTCCCCCATCTTACTCCCCAATCACGAGTTGGGCAAGACACTAAGATGGAGAATTTATAGAGGAGCCCTAAGGTGGGGTCCATTGTTCCGGGGGCTGGAGCTGTCCCCGGTGCTGGAAGAGAAGACCCAGGAGAGGGGAGCAGGGGGGAGGAGGAGAGGGGAGCCAGCATCTGGGGAGACTGAGTGTGGGCAGTATAGGAAAGAATCCGGGAAAAGAAAATGGCATAGGAACAGTTGGTCAGGTTGGGAGTGGGGGGAGGAGGGAGGTGTAGATGGGGTGGGAAGTATGTCTCAGAGCCTGGGGGAAAGGGCAGAAGGGTACCCAGAGAGGAAAGATGGAAAGGGGGGCGGGGTGAAATGAGCGCAGAGAGAGAGAACTGTGTATTTTCCAGAAAAGGATCCAAGAAAAACTATGTCTTGCTGGCATTTGCCAACACCCCCTTCTCTCCCTCTGGGTGGTTTGTGTGTGTAAGTGTGTGGGCAGGGAGGCGGCGGTGGTGATGACTTCGAGAGTTATCGCTGTAAGCTCCTTGAAGACCAGGGCACTGTTTAATTCAGGATTTTACTGTTTGGGGTCTAGCACAGTGTCTTGCTCATGCGTAGTTGCTAAACAATTATTTTTTGAATAAACAGTTGATGCAAAAGAACCTCTGACAAGAGCAGATCCCTGATTCCTTTGTTGGGGGGGGGTGGAGAACCACAGAAGGCAGGCTCTGGTTCAGGGCAGAAGAAACCCAATTTCTTCTCCCTTTGCCCCCCTCTCCCAGTTAGGTTCCTTGAGTAGGACTCTCAAAGTGAATCAGGTAACATAAAGGGATGGGGGGAGTACATTTGGGGGCCATTACTCTCCTAAAAAACTCTTCTTCTACGGATGATCTGTTTCCCCCATAATCTCAAGGGAGCTTAATTCTTCCATGTGCTGGGCCCTCTCACACCACCCTTCAGTGCAGGGAGTACCTGCTGACATCAGCTCTCCTGGACAGGGCAGTCCTTGCCTGCAGCCCTTGTGGAATGCCCTCTCTATTGTCATTTCCTTCTTCACCCCAGAGTGGGGCTGATGTCTCCATAGTGGCACTGGTGTCTCTGAAATACGAAATATGTCCCAACTGAATCCCAGCCGCCCCCATTCCTGAGCTATCATGGCAGGCAAGCTTCTCTTCAAGAAGGGAAGTAATAGTAAGGGTGCTTAGGAGACACTTACAGTGTCCCAGACATTGTTCCAAGTGCTTTATATTTACTAATTTGTTTAACCCTCAGCACCAGCCTATGATGTAGGTTCTACCATTACCTCCAAATAAAGATGAGGGAACCAGGGCACCAAGAGATAAAATGGCTTGCCTAACATCACAGAGCTAGAAAGAAGACTTAGTGAGGGTGGAGCCCAGGCAATCTGGCTCCTGAGTCCTGAGTTTAACCCCCACATCAAATGCTCCCCATGGGAATGGGAAGAGTTGTTAAGCCTGGCTTTTTTCCTCTTGTGTCTTCATTTGAGCCCTGTGTGAGAGATGACCTTCTTTCTACTGCTTGATTCTCTGTTGACCACCATCCTTCCTTAGCTTGGGTTTGTGTGTGTGTGTGTGTGTGTGTGTGTAAATATGATTACACTTCATCATATGGATGCCCAGGTCCTCCCATTTGGGGCCCTAAGATGGGCATGGAGGGGAGATGGTAGAGCGCCCAGTACTGGGTGGTCAGAACACGGGATGGCAGTGCCAGGGAACCAAGAGTGCAAGCACATCTGGAAAGTAACTTTCCACTCCCAACTCCACCCTCACTGCTCCTTGCCTTGCCTCTTAATCAGATCTCGGTATTTATGGAGATGCTAAACAGATCACACCCTCTGAGGATGGAGCCTAGGAAGACCCCATGGCCCTGTTGATCTTGTTACTCTGTGTCTTGTCAGCAGATCTGCCGCCCTGCTGCTCATTCAGGCTTGGGGCTAATCACATTAATTGAAATATTGAACATTTACAAAAATGAATTATAATGAACTCCCCTTACTCCTCCTCCCAGTCAGCAATTGGGGAGACAGCTGCAGGCAGCAAAATGCCTCCAACCATTTGCTTAGTTTGTGGTCCCCAGATGGAAGGTTTCCATCTGAAAGGAGAGGCAGGGTTAAGGGGAGAAGAGGTGGGAGCTTGCATTGGGCCATCCTTGCTGGGTGACTGTGGGCACATCTCTGTCCTGTGAGGTAACTCTGGGGGGTTAACCCTACGACTCAGAGGCCCATTCTGGGGAGTTGCTCTCCAGGAGGAAATGAAGCTTCCAAACCTTACTTCTTCCAAGGTCTTTTCTCTTTCCACCATCCCCAAGCTCTCCTTCTTTCTTATTCTTCTGCACTCAGTGCTTAGCTGCCCTACATAAAAAGATTATTGACTTTATACAGGGAGAGCTCTACTCCCGATTTTAGATTCTTAGAAAATGAATAATTGGGATATATTTCAGAAAGGGCAAAATGTAGTGGTGGTATATGTGGGCAGAGTGGCTAGTCACCAAATACTTGCTAGCCTCACCAACTGAAAGCAGAGTGAAGCCATGTGCAGCAGAAACCATGACACTGTACAAAGAATCTCTTATATGATCTTCCTTCCCTAAAGTGGCTTCTACCTCAAATGGAGAGGTAAGACAGGCCAACACCATGTACGATAGTGAGGACCAAGGTGCTGTAAGAAAACCAAAGTCAGTAGAAGTAGCCTCTCTTATTTACACATAGTGGCATTTGGGCCATGGGGAGTGCTCAGTCAAGAAAGGCTTGATTGAGTCTCAAAGTACAAGAAGACCACAGACTAGCAGAAGGAGGACATTACTTATTTTATGCACAGGGTGGGAAGATGGAGAAAATTTTACATACTTACACATGTGTGTGTGCGTGTGTGTAGATTTGCCAGTCCAGTCCAGCACTGTTTAATATAAGGCAAGCCATCTACATAATTTTTTTTTCTTTTTTCTTTTTTCTTTTTTTTTTAAATTTTATTTATTTATTCATGAGAGACAGAGAGAGAGAGAGAGAGAGAGGCAGAGGGAGAAGCAGGCTCCCAAGGAGCAGGGAGCCCGATGCGGGACTGGATCCCAGGACCCTGAGATCATGACCTGAGCCGAAGGCAGACGCTTAACCATCTGAGCCACCCAGGCGCCCTAATTTTTTTTTTTTTAAGATTTTATTTATTTATTTGAGAGAGAGAGAATGAGAGAGAACAAGCACATGAGAGGGGGGAGGGTCAGAGGGAGAAGCAGACTCCCTGCTGAGCAGGGAGCCCAATGCGGGACTCGATCCAGGGACTCCCGGATCATGACCTGAGCCGAAGGCAGTCGCTTAACCAACTGAGCCACCCAGGCGCCCGCCATCTACATAATTTAAATTTCTAGCAGCCACATTAAAAAAGTTAAAGAAACAAGTGAAATTACTTTTAATAATAGATTTTATTTAACCGATATATCCCAAATATTATTCAATGTGTTTATATGATATATCCAAAATATTCAACATGTCATCAATATAAAGATTATTAATAAGATACTTTATTTTTTTAAAACTACATGTTCAAAATCCAATGTGTATTTTGCACTTAATAGCACATCTGACACTTACAGCAACATTCTAGTGCTCAATAGCCACAGGTGGCTCATGGTGACCATATTAGGTAGTGCAGCTTAAGGGGTTCCCCTGCCAGCTTCTCTGGGGCGGCGGGGTGGGAAGAAACAGGTCTTGGCCAACAGGAACTATTACCTCTGATTAGCCTCTGCTCCTGCCTGAAAAAAACACTTGTGACAGATGGCAGCTTATCTACCTCTCTACTAACCCTTTCTCCTAAAAACCAGACAAACAAACGCAATGATTACTAACCTGGATGAGATTCCTGGGAAGAGGCCTGTAGCTCACTACCTCATCTTTCTTCCGTGTTTTTTTCCTGGCTTGGGAACTGCCAACATTTTCACTTCTTCTCCTCAGTCTTTGCTGAGAAGGATAGAGGTGGACCACTGAGAGAACCCCTCCAAGGCCATGGTCTAAATGTTGGGCTTATTTCTCCTTGGGCAGTTGTTCACCAATCTGAAAGACCAGCCTCCCTTCTGAGGTCTTTTCTCTGTTCCCCAGGAGGCCTCTGCTGGGCATGATCTCTGGGGGTGTAGAAACTCAGCACCATGTGTATGGTGTGTTGGACAGACAGGCTCCTGCCCTTTCCAGGTCTATTTTCAGCTCTTTGGCTTTATGTTTCACTTTCCTTTCTTAATTAGATACTAAAAGAATACACCTTGAAGACCAACTGCCTTTCCCCTCCTCTGTTCAACTGGGAGTGGGAGAGATGATTTAGAATTTATGAGGAGCAACTTCATCTACACAAGAAAGTCAGTCCAAGGGGCTTCTGGGTGGCTCAGCTGTTAAGCATCTGCCTTCGGCTCAGGTCATGATCCCAGGGTCCTGGGATCGAGCCCCACATAGGGCTCCCTGCTCAGCGGGAAGCCTGCTTCTCCCTCTCCCACTCCCCCTGCTTGTGTTCCCTCTCTCGCTGTGTCTCTCTCTGTCAAATAAATAAAATCTTTAAAAAAAAAAGTCAGTCCAAGAGGGGAAACCTCTGGCAGGATGTCCCCCAGGTCCTTTCCAGTATCTTTAGTGTGAGAATGTCCCTTCCTTTGCAGCACTCCATTCACTCCCTCCTATGGGATGCTTTCATATTGTTAAGTGTGTCTACAGGACGGATGGAGGGGTTTGGCTTTGGGGCCGGCTAAAGGCGAAGAAGCTTGAATTCTCTCTCTACTACTAGGTTTCAACAGCTGCCAAACAAGGGAGAGGGTCAGGAACCAGATTCTGGGAGACTCTAACTTAGGAATCCCTTTTCCAGTTTTGCTCTAGAGCCAAGGAAAAAAAACTATTTGAGGTTGGGTGGAGTCAAGAAGAGGGGCTCATTCCACATACAACCAAGCCGGGAAATTAGAGGGGAAGACCCTCCCACTAGGTTTCAGAGTGGCCCCCATATTCCTTCCCCCAGCCCCACCCCGCGTGCTGATGAGGGCCGGACTTGGGGGGCGGGGCGGGGCCTCTCCGCCCGCGTGGTCCGTCGCCTTGACGACCTGGACAAGATGGCGACGCTGCAGGGCGGGCTTCTGGGGCCGGACCCCGGGGCGCTGAGCCCCGCGCAGCAGGAGCAGCTTCGCAACTTCAAGGTGGGTGCGCCCCGGACTCCCGCCTCCATCGAAGTGCAGCTCCCCTAGGACACGGGCTGCAGACCCGGAGGAGGTCCGGGAGGAGGGGCGCGGGAGCCTGTTCTCAGATGAACTGGCGCAAGGCTGGGGGAGACGCCAGGCGGAACTCTGGGCTTCTGGGACCCTGGACGGAGCCCGACAGGCGCCTGGAAGTGCAGGAAGAACGACCGCAGGGATCTGGCCAGTGAAATGGACCGAAATTACTGCCGGAGACAGTAACTTAGATACAGACAAGAACTCCCGGACGGTGGAGACCCGACCTTAGCTATGGCCCCTGAGCCTGACAGCGCAGAAGGTGTTGGTCATTAATAAAACAGGCGGCTTAAAATTTCAAACATCCCGGGAAAAGACCCAGGTCAAATGCACACCTAGTTTCCCCAAGGCTTTCACACGCCCAGGGCTTGAACCCTGAAATCTGCCTCCTCATGGAGCGTGACCTTTTGCTCTTATCCTCCTAGATTCAGACTCGGATTGCTAACGAAAAATACCTGAGGACCCACAAAGAAGTGGAGTTGCTCATAAGTGGTTTCTTCAGGTAGGTGGTGTTCCCAACCGGCCTTGACAGCTAGTGGGAAATAATACCAAATCTTGGTTGGCAGAGATGAGTTGACTGCTGCCTTTAGGGTCAGAGAGGTAGGAAAAAAATAAAATAATACATATACATACATATATGTTAAACTAAATAAATTAAATTAAAATTACATACATATACATATTTTTTTACATATGTAAGACAATATTTTAAGATTGAGTTTTTTCTAACTCTCAGATTTGTGGCACCCAGGGTGTTCTTGAGTTATCTCTAGAGGTTTTCTTAAGTTATCTCTGAATTCTCAAAAATTTAATATTCAGTCATTTTAGCTGTAAGGATAAATATATATCTTCTGACACTTGGAAGAGGTAATTTGGCATTGAGAAACTCAACAGGCAGCCATTGGGTGTAGAGCACTATTTCTCCATCAGAGGAGCTTAACAAGATCACTAGAACTTAAAAAAAATTCAGATGTCTGGCCCTTCTCTCCCTGAGAGACTTGTTGTGGAAAGACTCCAGTGGTTGGAAGCCATTCCCCTGTAAGTCTTGGGGAAGAGACTATTTTCCACCATATCCTGGAGCACTGTTTTTCTTTCCCCTACATTGCCCTTCAGGTTGGCATTTGTTGTTTGAATGGAAAATTCTCCTAATGGGATGAAAGGCAAAGAACTGTCAAAAAAAAAAAAAAAAATCTTGGGGCAACTGATGAAAACAATAGAGCTATCTCAAATACTGTTTGGCTACAGACAAATAGGCAAGGTTTAAATAATAATAATGGCTTCCATTTCCAGGCACTGTGTTGGTTTCCCAGGTTAGCCTTTATCACGCTGAATTGGAATTTTTTTTTTTAAGATTTTTTTAATTTATTCATTTGACAGAGAGAGAGACAGCGAGAAAGGGAACACAAGCAGGGGGAGTGGGAGAGGGAGAAGCAGGCCTCCCACAGAGTGAGGAGCCTGACGCGGGGCTCGATCCCAGGACCCCGGGACCATGACGCGAGCCGAAGGCAGACGCCTAACGACTGAGCCACCCAGGCGCCCCCTGAATTGGAATGTGCACTTTGTCCCTGGACCAGAACCCCAAGCTGGTGCAGCCGTATTTGTGTCCCCGGTGCCTGCACACTGTGTGACATCTTGGTACTTGTGTGACCCTCCCAGCAACTGCAAAACATAGCTTAGCATCACTTCCGTTTTACAGCTGGAGAGGTGAGGTTCCTTCCCCAAGATGCGGAAGCAGGATCCATACCTCTGGTATTTCCACTGTGCTGGGTTGAAAGCTCACAGGAGCTGGTGAGCCAGAGGTGGGGCTCTTCTTTGTCTTCTCAAAAGTAGACCTGGAGCAGTGTCTTTTTTTCCAGGCTCTTTCGTCTTTCCTGGGTCTCACTGTTCTTCATATCCTAGTCATTTCTCCAGTGGCAGCAGATTCTCACAGAGCAGATAGGGGATGGAGAAAGGGAAAATAGAAACTTCCCTGTGAAGGTTGGTTTTATTTGGCCCAGGGGTAAGGCTTCGGCAAAAGATAGTTTAGGGGTCTTCTGTCAATGTCAGTCCTGGGGATCAGGCCATCATTTTTTACACTTCTTCTTCTTCTTCCTTTTTTTTTTTTTTTTTTTTTAAGATTTTATTTATTTGTCAGACAGAGAGAGAGCACGAGCAGGGGGGGGAGAGGCAGAGGGAGAAGCGGCTCCCCACTGAGCAGGGAGCCTGACATGGGACGATCATGTTAAGCAGACGCTTAACCGATTGAGCCACGGCATCCCTTGCACTTCTTCTTCTAAAGGGAAATAAAGGTTGACCTCATTCCTATCCTGGGGAGCTTGCAGTCCAAGTTAGGAATAATTCCAGCAGGGAGGTTGGGGGTAGATGTTAAAAGCCTGAATTAAATCACCATTTGCCTTGTTCACAAACACAAGGAATGGGTGGTGGTGGGAGGTGGTGGCGAATGAAGAGGGTGGTGTTTTTAGTCACATATCAGGGGTGGCCCAGCTTCTCTGTCCAGGAAGTTTCCAGGAGGAACTGGGTGTCTGTGCCTGGCTGCCACGAGAACAGCCCCTTCACTTCCTTATCATCCCCACCTCCCGGGCCAGGTAGGCCACTAGGCTCTTCCCTTTGCTGGCCCTGAAGCTATCTACAGGAAATGCTCCTGGCCCCTTTTAGGCCTTTCTCTTTCTGAGGTGGGGGTGGGAGGGGGAGAAGAAGTGTTTAAAGTTTGAGGGTTTGCTTTTGTTGTTTTTGGTGTTACTGTTACTTCCTTTGGAAGATACTGGGATGAACCAGATTCAGCCCCTCATCTGTACTGGATACTTTAGATGGTTTTCCTCTTGGGAAAAGAGGAAGGGAGAAGAGGGGACAGAATCCTGAGCGGCATACCTGTCCTCATGTCTTTTGCAGGTCTCTGCTCTGGACTCACTCCAACCCATGAGAAGCTCCAAAGTGTTTTTGTTGGGAAGCGAGTTCCCCACTTGGGTTTTCCAGATCGTGATGACTTATAGTGATTCAGTCACAGCTCTCCAGGATGTACTTGTATATACAGTGTGTGGAACTCTTAACACCTTGAATTTTGGACCTGAAAAATAGAAAGAATAGCGATCTAACTTATTTTAGACCCCGGAGGTCTAAGGTTTTAGGCTGGAGATGTGATAGCAAAGTGTGAAACTGTAGAAAGGCTTTATTAGATATTTTTGTAAGTAGCCAGGCAGATGACTTCCCAAAATTTAGAACTGATTATGTCACTCCTTGGCCGGAAAAATCTGCAGTGGCTCCACAACATTGTCCCCCCCCCCCCCACCAGCTTTTTAACATTCTGTTGAAATATAATGAAAAGTGGCATATCCTAAACTGGGTGAACTTTCACAAGATGAGAGTATACATGGTACTAGGGGCCAGATCAAGAAATAGAATCTGACTAGCATTTCAGACCTGCTGAGACCCTTCCAAGCACTTCCCCCCCAAAGGTAGCCCGTATCCTGACTGCTCATAGCACAGATTTGTTTAGCCTTTCTGTACTTTCTGTAAGTGCAGTTCTACAGTACGTGCTCCGTTGTGCCTGACTTCTGTCGCTCAACTGTTTCTCATAGATCCTCCATTCTCACTGTTGGGTGTGTTCTGCTGTCTGAGCTTTATGCACCCATTCCCCTTATCTTTTTTTTTTTTAAGATTTTATTTTTATTTATTTGACAGAGAGCACAAGTAGGCAGAGAGGCAGGCAGAGGGAGAGGGAGAAGCAGGCTCTCTGCTGAGCAGGGAACCCGACGGGGGACTCGATCCCAGGACCCTGGGATCAGGATCTGAGCCGAAGGCAGACGCCCAGCCTACTGAGCCACCCAGGCGCCCCTCCCCTTGTCTTTTGAATTGAATATAAATGTCTCTCCCTGGCCTTCCAGGCTCTGCATAATAGGGCCCCTTTGCTCCCGACTACTCTCTGCGCCTGCCCACCATCCCAGCCAGATGGAACCTCTGATCATTCCACTGACCTTCCCGCTGACACTCCCGGGGGTGCCTCACACTCCCGGGGGGACCTGACTCTTCTGGACCCTGGGTCTACAAAGGTGGATACTCCAGTTCCTACTCTTGAGGAGGACATGGACCCTTTCATTTCTGGGGCTTTACTCTTGCTGCTTCCCTGTCTGGGATGCCCTTGTCCTGTCTGTGGAAATACCAGCTGCTCTGTGAGGATTTCTGGGGCCCTGCTCTCAGTAACCTTTCTCGCTGTCCCCAGCACACTATTTTTTTTTGAAGGTTTTGTTTTGTTTTAAAACATTTTATTTATTTATTTGAGAGAGAGAGAATGAGTTGGGGGAGAGGGGCAGAGGGAAAGGGAGAAGCAGACTCCCCGCTGAGCAGGGATCCCAACGCGGGGCTCGATCCCAGGACCCTGAGATCATGACCTCAGCCGAAGGCAGACACTTAATCAACTGAGCCACCGGGTGCCTGGACACAGCACACTATTAACACCCTCTTACAGCACTTCCTGCAGGGTGCTTGGTCTTTTGGACATTTGGGAACTTACCCGTTCTCTTTTACTTGACTAATTTCTTTGAGGTGGTGCTGTATTTTCTCTTTTTTAAAAAATAAAAGCAACCCCTCATATCTCATACAGTTACTTACATAGAATTTGTGCTCAATAATTGTCAAATGGAATTCAAGGAGAAGGGAAGCCAAATTCTTAAAGCTTGGGAGGCAGGGGCTTTCTGGGCAGGCGAGGCCTTTTTCTAGGCTGGTGGGCCGGGCAGCCACGGCCACTAGGATGTGGTGTAGAGAGCACTGGCCTTGGAACCCCAAGACCTGGGCTCTGTGCCCTTTGTTTACTCGCTTGGTGAACTTGGGCAAATGATTAACCTTTTGAAGGTTTGATTTCTTCATATGTAAAATGGGGCACGGTCATTGCTGTTTCATAGGGTTGTTGTAAAGTGGGATAATATTTGTGAACATTCTTTATGAACCATAAAACTCTAGGCTAGATAAGGCATGTTCCCCGCCCCAGCAGCCCCGGCACTGCAGGCCTTGTCAGTGTCCGCCGCGAGACCCACCGTGAGACCCGCAGTCCGGCCTCTCCGCTCTGTGGATTGCATCGTCCCCCCACCCCTGTGGGTACTCCCGGTTAAACGTAGTCACCAGCCTGTGGGGTTGCATATATGTCCCACCACACGTGAGCCCCTCAAGGACTAGGCAGCATGTCTTTCGTCTTCACCACCTTTCCCTGGCTTGGGCTCTGGTTCTGTGAAAATGTTTGTGGAATGAATGACAGGCTTTGCCTGGCTAGGGCACAGCTGTCTTGTGAAGTGAGCTTAGTGCCATTTAGAATGTTTTGCTCCTTGCCTCAGAGCCTGACCCGAAGGAAAATCATGAATGGAAGGGTCTTTGTTAGGAGTCCTCTGGCTTATTGACTCCCAGACGGGGGTGTCTCAGGTCACTCTGCTCCCTGAAAGGTGGGACCTGCAGCCGAGGCTGAGCGGAGCCTGCCTTCAAGCCTGCTTTACTCCTGCCCTTATCCCTTCATGTTTTCCAGAGAAATGTTTCTGAAAAGACCAGACAACATCCAAGAATTTGCCGCAGGTGAGTAAGGCCATGTCTGTTTTGGGTCTTTGGGAAACCAGCCCAAGGAGTATTATTGCAAATTTAGACTCGGACAAGCCCTGCAGAGTCTGGGGTACTTCTTCACTTGATGTCCCCCCGGGGAGCTTTTTTCAGAAGGCTCTTTCATCCATTGTCATTTTCTCAAAATGAGGACAGATAAGAAATGAGGCAGAGCTTCCTTGTGGTGAAGATTAAGAATTTTGACACTCCCAAAGGAACATACTGGCAGCTCTTCCCCTGGGAATCCTAAAGCGGGGTCCTCCACCCTGGCTGCACATTAGAATCACCTGGGGAGCTTTTAAGAAATGCTGAGGCCCGGGCCCACCCCCAGAGGTTGGTATTTAATTAGCCCAGGGTGGGGCCCCGCCTCAGGGTTGTAAAGGTCCCCCGGTGATCCTAATGGGCTCCACTGCCCCAGCTGGCTTGAGGTCAACGGTATTTAGAGGGAAGGGCGTGGGGTGGGGCAGGCTTCCTGGGCGCCTGTTAGCCCAGGGAGTTTGATGGCCTCACACGGTTTCTAACGGAGTCTAGTGCGTCTTTGCCGCCGCAGCAGATGCTGCCTCTGATTCACGTTATGCTGGGTGTATAAAAACCCTCCTCTGTCGTCATCGTGTGAGAGCCTGGCTCTCCTCTGAGAGGATATTCTCAGAGAGGAGAGGGCGTGATATCTCAGAGACGAGCTGGCAAGCTGAGCTGAGACAAGAATAACACTTGGCATTTATTTGGGCCTCGGGATGGGCTGGGAGCAGAAAACCCAGAGATCCCTCAGCCCTCTGATGCTCCCCATGCGTCAGCAAGCTGATGACCCGCAGGGCGGTGTGGAAGGGTCAGGAGCCATCCTGTGTCAGCCCCTCCTGGGGGCACGGGAGCTGGCGGGCTCAGCACTCTGGGCGGGGACAGTGACCACGGGATCTGCTGTGGCTTCTATGACGTCAGAAGGCAGGGCCACCAGGAACAGCCCTGCTGAGGCCGAGCCATCCTCGCTTTTGAGCGGAGTAAGCGGCCTCCCTCCCCGCCTCTTCCCCTTGGGTTTAGATAATTTCTTCTTTTCGATTCTTATCCCAGACTATTTCACGGATCCAAGACTTCCCAACAAGATTCACATGCAGCTAATTAAGGAGAAGAAAGCGGCTTAATTAGCAGAATCATGATGCTCAGCTGTTGAGAGAGACCAGAAAGAATCCAGCCTCAGGGTGGGTGTTAACCTCACTTACAGACAGAGGCTTCTTTACTCTTGTCAAAATAAGCACCAGCTCCCTGGCCCACGGTGTGAAAGAAACCAAAGGGAGAAGCTGCAGAGAAGTTTCATGCAAAAGTGTTTCGTTTTCTTGACACTATTTTGGGGAATTAGGGGCTGTGAAGAGCGGCCCCGGGTTTGTCTGGCATGTCCATGGCAGGAAGAGACATCTGTCTCCTGAGCCTAGTGAAACAGAGTCGGAGAGTGGAAGCAGAATCGTGTGGGAGTGAAGAGTGGCGGGGAGACGGGGGGGGGGGGGGGACCCGCTAGTATCCAGACCCCGCTGTCAGTCTGCAAAATATCGAGTGCTCCTGCAGATGGCCTTTTCCTTCTGTTCCCAGTGCTGGGAGCAGAGGGGGTTCCTGTTGCTTCTGGAAGGGGCGGGAACAGTTTCCCTCGTGGCATCTTGGACGAGGGACTTTCCTGCTCCCCGTCCTCTTCAAACCAGGCTCTGCCATGAGGGCCATCTCCCATTTTTCAGGCAGGATGATTTCTGAAAGGATTTTGCAGGTTGGGATTTTTTTCATGTGAGGTGGGAAAAAGCCATGTACCTGATGTCACAGCGCCATTTGTATTTTGCAGGGTCACCTGGAAGCAGGGGAGCCCTGTTGCCCTCAGGGTGGGGTTCCAAGCTGCCTTGGGCCGTGTCCACTGTTGCAAAGGCTTTTAAAGCTATTCATTAAAAGCAGACCTTTCCACTCTCTCTGCTGTGTTTCACTCCAAAGGAGGAAGCCACCCTGCAGGGAGGGCTGTTGCCCCCCACACCCCTTTGACCTGCTAGGCAGCAGGGCTGTCTCTGTGGCAGCCCGTGGGCCTCAGCTAGGTGGGCGGGCTGCTCCCACATGTGACTCACACTGTGTCCTCCCTGCCCCTCCAGGCTGCTTGCTCCCAGAGCCAAGGCTGGACAAAAGAACAGGGGTGGGGACCCTGTGAGGACCACAGCTGATCGAGATGGCCCTCAAGCCAAGTCCATGCTTTAGCACGGTTCCCCCTCGCCCCAGTCTTTCCTCCCGGGTTACCGTATGGCGTGTACCAGTGGTGGTTTAACTTTTCTCTACCAGCAATAATAACGGGGCTGGAAGGACAGCGAGAAAATGAGATTGGACAAAGAAAACCCGTTCAGGGTCCTGCATCTTGTGAAATAAGAATAACAGGTGACTCAGAGGTGGTGGATTTTGTTCTTGAGGGTTTTTAGCAGTAAGCTGCCCATCCATTTGGTTTTCAGCTAACAGGCAGGGGAGGGGGTCGGTTGGCCTTTTGACATCCTTTCCAGGCCCGGAAGGCATGGATGTCTTCCATGTTTATGCCCCACCTCTCTGGCCTCCACAACCCACAACCCACTGTATGAAGGGCCTCTCACCTGGGTGTCTCGGGTCCATGCCACTATGGCAACAGAGGCCTAGCCCAAAGCAGGGGCTGCGTTTTCTCTCTTTCCCTTGTCTCTGTCCGTCGTGTTCCTGGCTACCAGCCCCTCCATGGCGGAAGGGCAACAAAACCGGGCATGGAGAGGATAGAAAAGCGATGCATAAGAAGCTCTGCAGCAGGAACCCTAAGAGTTCTTTCAAGTGCTTTCAGAATCACACTTCAGCGGCCACAGCCCTGACAGTGAGGTACCCCTGCTTAGAAAACCCAGATGAAGCCTTCAGCAGAAAACTCACATGTACTAAGGACCTCTGATATAAAGTGTTAAATTAGACTCTCTTGAAAGCTTTCCTGGGAAGAGAGGCCTGCAGTAAGGTGGGGAGAGGGCAAAGTGTTTTTCAGATGCTTGGGTGTATGATGTGATACCGCAGGAGGACACTGGTTCACTCTTGGGGGGTTTCCGGGCAGAAAAAAGAAATGCATTTCGATTAGAATATATATTTCAAAGCCAAGGAAAGAATGCATTTGGCATGTGGTCCTAGTGCATCTGTTCTGTGTGACATCGAGTGCCAGGGTCAGAGAGTAAGGTGGGGAGGGAGGTCATCCTGCCATGTGGTGCTTGATAGTCTGGGAGGAGATGTGTAGCTTTGCTCCCCAGACTTGAACTGTCCGGATAGCTCACCTTGTAGACTGAAAGCGCCATCAGAGCAGGGACCAAATCTAAAAACCGGACTTGTTCACCATTGCATTCCTGACTGCTGGCCCTGTGTGTGGCGTATAGTAAGTGCTCAGTAAGCATCTGTGGAGAGAATGAATGCTTGTGTAACTGAGTGAGCAATCATGTTATATCAGCCGCTATAAAGACTATAAAGTCACACAGCTGTGATGGATGTAGGTACATAGAGAGAAGGAGGAAGAAAGAATCCCCGGTCTACTTGCAGGAGTGAGGGAGGCCTCAGGGAAACTGGCATGTGATGATAGGTGGGAAAGGATCTGCCAGGAAGATGTGGAGAGTGGCCTGGGGGAGCCAGGCTACCGCAGGCGCCTCCATTTTGCTGAGCACGGTGGTGGTAGCAGACCCTGTGTGTCACCTGCTCATCCTCCTTACCTCTTTCTTCCTTGCTGACTGAACACCAGCTTTGTTGAGGGCAGCCGTGGACTCAGCCCCAAGTGGTAGATGGTATTTATACTAAGCCAACCACAGTAACCACGGTCCCTGGTTTCCCAGCCTGCCTTGCAGTGAGGGGCAGCGAGGGTAAAAGTGTGCTGTGGGTTTCTAGGAAAGCTTTGGCTTTCTTAACAAGAATGGCGGGGTGGGGGGGCGCGCGGGATGACAGATTAAAGTCGGTGTAGCCTTCCTTTTTCCCACATTTCTTACTGTTTTGAGCCTGAATGTGATGTCTAGAGCCGAGTGGCCATGGTAAAGCCGTGAAGTGACAAGTAGGAGGGTGCCCGAGCCAGTTCTCCAAAGTGGCAGAGAGCAAAGATCAGAAGACTGAGGTCCTGGTGGCATCTTTGAGCACTTGAACAACCCAGCAAATGCTTGCCTTCAGACTTCTTGACAAGTGAGAAAAATACATCTCTAATTTGTTTTGAAAGCACGCCAGAGTTTAATCCCGACCCACCACTTACTAGATGTGTGGCCTTGGCCAAGCCACTTAACTTTCTTGAGGTTAGGTTTCTCATCTATAAACCAAGACGTGTAATTAGCAGCACTTAGGGCTGCTGGGTTGGGAATAAGGAAGGGACAGTGCCTGGCACGTGGGCAGTGGTCACAAGGGGGTCTGACTGGAGGTGGGTGCAATGTAGGGATAAGAGACCAGACAGGAAGCTGGGACCCATCACAAGGAGCATCGCACTCGAGGCACAGGAGGCTGATCTTTATCATGTAGGCAATGGAGAGCCAGCAAAACATTTTAAGCCAAGAGGAGTTCATGAAGAGATTTGCATTTAGAAAGTGCCAGAGTGTGGAAGACAAACTAGAGGGAGCTGACTAGAAGTGGAAAGACCTGTCGTCCCAGCCGCCACCGCCTCTCACCATGGCCCCTCCTCACTCAGGGCTCAGCGGGCCTGGGGTACTCCTGCCCACTGTCAGCTGAGAGCCTGCCCTGCACGCAGCAGAAAACCCAGTTCATAGCGGCTGGTGCAGATGGAGGCTTATTTTTCTCTCCCAATAGAATGTCCGGCTGTAGGCAAGACTCAAAGGTTCAGTGGTGTCCACAGGCCCCAGACCAGGCTTCCGTCCCTTCCACTTGGCCGGCTTTAGCCTGTGGCCCCACCGTTGCGAGGGGCTGCTTCTGTTCTCCAGCAGGGAGAAGACAGCAGAGCCACACCAGCTGAGCCTGTCCCTTCTTGTCAGGAAAGCAAAGTTTCCCTGAATGTCCTTTCCACCCACGTCTCACAGGCCAGACCAGGGTCCTGTGGTCCACCCAAGTGCTCCAGAGACGGGCAAAGGGAAATTTAACTCGAGCTTTTAGAGAAGACGGTGTCCAGAAAAAAGTGGGATTTGCTGTTGGGTCAGCCCCATAGCAGTATCTGCCCTCGCTGGTTCCTTCTCCCTGTCCCGGCTAGAATGACCCTTTAAGAAACCTAAACCATGGGGCACCTGGGTGGTTCAGTCAGTTGAATGTCCAACTCTGGGTTTTGGCTCAGGTCGTGATCTTATGGGTCCTGGGATGGGCTGTGTCTGTGTGGGGCTCCATGCTCGGCAGGGAGTCTGATGGAAGATTCTCTCCTTCTGCCCCCCCCCGCCCCGCCCACTTGCACGCCCCCTTGTGCTCTCTCAAGTAAATAAATCTTTAAAAAGAGAAACCTAAATCAGAGTAGGTCACTCTCCTGCCTAAAACCCTTCCATGGTCTTCCAGGCACTTAAATCCAAATGGCTTTCCAGGGGCCTCGGAGCTTTGCAAGACCCCCTCCATCCCTCAGACTTCTTCTGCCCCCTGCCTCCCACCTGCCTGTGTTCCAGACACACAGGTCTTCTCTCCCTCCCTCGGACCTGCCACCCGTTCCGGAGTTAGGGCCTTTGAACTCTGCCTGGATTGTTCTTCCCCAGGTCTCACAGGGCTAGGGAGCCCAGCTAGGATGCTCTGGTCTGAAAGGAAGCCTCTGCTAAGGGAGCAAGCCTTTCTTTTCTCACACAGCAAGTCTGGAGTGTTGGTTTAGGGCCTGCCTCTGCAGTTTCCTCCTTTTCCCTCATGGTCGAAGGACGAGCAGGCAGGGACTGTACCAGCGATTTTCTGGAAAGCAGGTCTTCCCCGGTACACCCCTTCCACCTCTGCCAACTCCCACTAACATCTCATTGGCCAGACCTGTGTACATGGCCCCCTTTAAGGGAGGCTGGGAAGTTGAGTATTTAGTCAGCCAACAGTGCCCTAGAGAGCTTCTTGTCACTTTCTCGGAGTCCTTTCCTAGGGATCCAGACATTTTTAATATTTAATTTAACCCCCGCCCCTGCCATCTTCTCTCCTATCACTGTCTTCTTCATAATACCTGTTGCTGTCTGATGTGATCTTTTTTGCTTATTTTCCTGTGACTGTCTGTGGTCTGGACTATGTGAGCTGTGTCGAGAGCTGGCCTGGTCAGCCGTGTTGGTCACTGGGGGCCTGGCACCCACAGCTGCCCAGAGTGCACTTGCTGAGTGAAGGCTGAGCTGTGGCGCCCAGGCCCCGATCCGTGCAGGGGCATGGGAACAGGACATGGAGTCTCGTATTTAGGAGAAGAGCGGGCAGCATTGTGGTTTGAGTGGGTTAGAGTTATAAGGGCGGGTACAGATTCTCCAATGAGTTTTAGGTTTCTTGCATGGGCAAAGGGACCCATGATGGGATCATTCACTAACACAGAAGGGAAGTAGATGGGGGCAGGGTAAATGGGGAGATGGATTTAGACCCAAAGGTGTCTGCTGGGTTTGTAGTTGGGGTGTGGGTGAAATTAGTATGAATTGCTGCGGTGGGGTGGGTGGGAGTTGGACTGAGTGGTCTTCCTGGCCTTTGTGAGATGGGGATGTGGGTGGATGCACATGCCTTTCTAGGAGCATGGTGGTGAGAGGAGACGGGGGAAGGGCAGTAGTTGGAAGAGGAAGCTGGGTCAAGGATGGGCTTTTGTAAGGAGATGCTTGAGCATGCAGGGATCTGGCATTTTTCATCTCTTGAGATCTGTTTTACTTTCAGGCTAAAAATGGTAGGAGCTTCTTGGAAATGTTGCACAGATAGGACCCGATATTGGAGGTAATGGGGACTAACAGGCAGGCCTAACTGTGCCACCGCATGACCTGTGGTGACCTGTGTCAGCCGCTCCTCCTCACAGTTGGGGCAGTGGCTCTCCCAGGACTGCGGTAGGCTGCCCCCGTCCCCATAGCGCAGGGTGGCGAGGAAGAAGGGCGGCGTTTAGATAGCGAGGCGCTCTCCTAGCCAGACGGGCCTCTACTGCCCTCTCCTGGGCGTGGCTGCTAAGGGGAAGACACCCCTGGAGGCCACCTGTTTAGGCCCGAGTGAAACAGGAAAAGAGAAACAGGGCTTAGGAAGGCGAGAAGAGTCACAGATTCACAGATTCTTGTAGAAGGAAATTTCTTTAGAAGTTACAACATCCAGGGCCTTGTCTCTGGCAGCCCTGCTCCATGAGCTCACTAGATGTTTCCTTCTTCAAAGTGAGGGAAAAAAGAAACCTTGCAAGGTTGATTATTCATTTATTCATTTGTTCACTCATTCACTTACTTGCCCACTCATTTATTCAACAAATATTATGGTACATTATGTACCCAGGGTGCAAGGTCTTGGGAATAAGATTCTCTTTCCTCAAGGAACTCACAGCCTAATGACTGAAGACAGATACATAATTATAATACAGTTTCAAAGGTGAAGTAAGAGAAACATGCAAGGAATGATGGGTGTGCAAAGGAGGTGGCCAGGCAATGTCTCCCAGTGTGGGAGCAGAATGCTAACAGATGGACCAGGACTGTAGGCCCCTGTCTGATATGATGTCTCCCCATTGTCAACTCTGAGGGGCGATTCTCGTTTCCTCCAAGCAAAGTTCTTCCTGAAATCTTCCCTCACTTTTATCTCTGTGTTTAATACAGTTTGTTAGGGCCTCGCTTTTCACATCTATGAAGAGAGGGGTGTGCTACTAGATGTTACATTCGAACATCATTGACATGACCAAACTCTATGAATGCTAACATTCGATTTGTTAAAACATCTTCCTGGGAGCAGGTTGGCATGTGCATATGGCCATCCTTGGGAAAATTCAGCTTCAGTCCAAAGGAACCAAATGTACCTTGCATACGACTACCTCTCCCTAAATGCTTGTTGAAAAAAAACAAATTTTCAGTGCTCTTAAACCATCCCTGTTGTTCCCTTGGGTGGCTGAGTGTCTTCATCTCTAAAGGGGGATAACGTGTCCCTTGTGCGTTTTGCTGCGAGGCTTGGCCTTGCACACCCAGACATCCATATCCATGTCTGGCCCATGGTAGGCCTTCATAGATAGCAGCTACTATTTCAGTGAAGTAGCAGAACTCAGTGCATTATTTCCCCAGAGCCAGGAGCGGTCACTGAGGAGAGGTCACAGGTGTGGGCATCCTGGTGAGAAGAGGAAGTAAACTAAAATTAAATGCAAGCATGTTGGAATTTAGGGCTATTTTGCATGAGACTGAAGACTTAGAATCAAGAAAACTTCTTCAGGGCTCAACCCAAGTGTTTCAGTAGTCACACTTTTTTTTTTTTTAAGATTGTATTTGACAGAAAGAGTAAGCACAAGAAGGCAGATCTGCAGTGGCAGAGGGAGGAGCAGACTTCCCGCTGAGCAGGGAGCCTGATGCGGGGTTCAATCCCAGGACCCTGAGATCATGACCTGAGCCGAAGGCAGACGCCTAGCAGACTGAGCCACCCAGGTGCCCCAGTAGTCACACTTCTGACCCCATCTGTCGCAGGCTCCAGGTGGACTGGAATCTGAGGTCTTTCAGAAGCAGGACTTCACCAAGTACCCTATTCTTTGGTCATCAGGTGGAGAAGTGACAGCACAGATTCCTCAAAGAAACAGTGATGAGAGAATCTCTGGGGCCTGGGAGAACAAAATGCCAGGTGTGTTCTGGTAGCTGTAGGGTCGCTTCATTGTCCAATTAACAAGTACCTAAAAACAAAATCTG